TTTGTGCTCGGGACCAAACTGCCGACTCCTTTTGCATAGTTTGAAACGAGAAGCCTGGAATCTTGCTTTCTCAGAATACGTGTAATTTAATGAACCACTTGTCGATACGTGCGTGTTAATAGTGCTAAATAACTGATCACCTGACACGGGGGGGGGGAGAAAGGGAGGAGGGAGAAAAGGAGAGAATGTTGGTACCGCTTACAATCCAGCGCCCCTTCTTCTCTCAGCAATGTATTGCCTGGTCGGATGACCTTTCTCATCTTTGGGTTTTTAAATGCCATTTTCCAGAGGCTTTTTCGAGGTAATTTTAGTATGTGATTAGAGGTGGTGTTGAGCAATCGTTCGTAGACTGTGATCATGGATAGTAATTAAGTGGCAACAATGCTTTAGTGTCTATCTGGGGTTCTAATTTTTCATTACGTGTGGAGATACTTAATTTAAAAAGAAACATCGATAATTGAGCTATTCCGAAATACGAACTTTACAACCTTGTTTTAAACGAAAATAATAATAAAAAAAGATAACAGTAAACTAGTTAGAGAGTACTTAAATAGTACATTGTTCTATTTACTTACTGTTTTGGAGTTGAACTTGTCTTTTTCCAAATTGGTTGGTTGAGATAGTCCAAAATTATGCCTGCCTTATCACTCATTTTCTACCATTTTTTTGATCTTGAGTGAAGTGTTTGGTATTGTGAAAATGTAGATGTGTGTTATGTGTTAGGGAAGAGACATGTGAGTCAAAGAACCAGGAAATCTTTATAACATTCTTGTATTTTTGAATTTAATCTTTATTCCAGAGTACAAAAGGTTTTGTGTAAAGATCGTTATTATTTCAAATTGTTATTTTTAATATTTGCTACCACTTAGACCGTTTATTATTGTTTTCTATTCCATTTACTGGCCTTCTATTAACATAATCATGGGTCTTCCCTCCGTCATCGTCATCATTATTATTATTTTCATGTAAGTACTCCATTTTCTGATGATAGTAACCGAACTAAAAGGAGGGGGGGTGGGCTTTTAGTAGCTGTTATTACTCTTTCTTAGCAGCGGAAAAGCTTGTACTCAATTGAAGTGGGGTTACTTTTTAAGTATGCAGAATCACAACCTTAGATTTTAAGCTTTATTTGTTAACCGTACTGGTGACTCAAAAGGACAACAGAGTTAGTGATGGGACCAAAATTTCCCCCTGTGCTTTGCATGCTTTATAGGTCCGTTTATTGAAGTGCATAGAAATGTAATTTATTACACTGTTTTTGCATCCTGTTTTGGGAGAATGGTGATCTTCCTTATCTGTCACACTGGATTTAGTTATGCTTTCTGTGTTCTTGGAACAGAACTCAGGTAACTTTGCTGATTCTTTGGTATACTCATCTGTTGCATGTTTATATAGGTTAAATCTAAGAGAAGCATTCTGTGTAAATGTGAGGAATAGGTTTCGTCAAATGCAAATTTAGGATTAAAAAATCGAAAGGAAATTGTCTTTTATTTTCATAATTTAAAATCATTATTACAGTTTAAACTGTATTGAATATTGGAATCAGCTAGGAAAGGTTGATAATCTTTTTGACTTATGCAGTATCTTATTAATAAAACTGTATTACTGATAAAAAGTTGTAAGGCAACAAGTGACAATTTGGATTGCTGCAAAATTATCTTAAGAGTTTAGATATGGGGCATACTTAGAGTGCTGAATGTAAATTATGCATACAGTCCTTTTGAGGGGGGAGGGGAGTTATTAAAACAGGTAATACTTACTGTCCTCGACAGGGTAACATGGTGTTTGCCCTTCTGAAATATTTTGCTCTCTTAAATGTTCACTTTAAAAAAAAAAAAAAAAAAAAAAAACAGAATAAGTTCTGTTTTAATTTCTCATGAAATCTTTTTTTTTCTGGAGATAAGTTTTTTTTCAGTTTTTTAATGATATTATAAGGCTTATTGATGAGCATCTCAGATTTTTGGATTGCCTGTAACTACTTTAGTGTCAGGGAATTTAGAATTCTTAGAATACTGATTTCTAAATATTTTCATTCATTCACATTTCAGGAATCCTTTCTGACAAGTGGTTGACTTTCTGGAATAGTGTATCTTGGGCTCTATTTCTCTCTTCTTGGTGCACCCTCTGAGGGTCCTGTAGTATCTTTTCAGAAGCATAGATATCTTTTAACTACTGAAATGACTTGATGAACTCTTACCCATTTGTGATACTGTTGCATTTTTGAAAACAGTTAAAAAAAAATTCTCCTTAATAATTGCCCTCTGATTACAAATGGAAAAGTACTGAGATTATTGATTTGATTCAAAGATATTTGAGAGTCAGGTGCTATTTCTGTTTTCAAGGAATTGTAGTGTACATGAGGAAACAAGATTCAAAAACATATTAAATCAATGTAAGTGTTGAAAGGAAAGGTATTTCAAAAGTTAACAAAAGGTTATATATGAAGAATTGCCAAATATGTAGACTAGGCAATTATTGTAGTGTATTGTGTATTCAATTTAGAACATTTTTTTAAAGGTCACGGGATTGAAAGTTTTATGATCATTTGTACAATGAACAGATCAAGAGAAATAGAATAGTCAAGTAACAAACATTTCAAATATCCAGAAGTTTTAATCTCTTGGTATAGTCTGACTTTACTGTATAAAGTTTTGAATGTTATAGTAGATTGTACAGAAAGACTAGACTTAATAGTTTTAGTTCGCTCATACTTTGTGTGAGCTGGCTACATGAAAACATTCTAAAAGTTGTAGACTGTGAAAATAATTGCAAGGTTTGTAGTTGATAACTTGCCTTTTCTCCAAATAACGTTGCTCGTACGTATTGAGGATAGTCTTTTTTTAATGCGTAGAGCGTGGCTAAATGCCTATTTACTGCTTTATTTTGGAAGAAAAGTTAGTCACTTTTGTTTCCAATATTTTTTAATAGTTCATCAATGATATACTAAGACCATAAAAATTAAATGTATGTTAAGCAAGTAAAGTGCATAAGGTATGGTATTTAAAAAGTTCAAGTTCGGGAATCACACTTCTTTGGTCCAAGTTTGCTCTGCTGTAAACTGGATATGTGACCTTGTGCATCTGGGCCTTACTTTGCCCATCTGTAAAAGAGGAATAATAGTTGCGTCTACCTCATAGGACTGTTGTAAGGAACTAATGAGATAGGGTATATGATATACTTAGTATAGGGCCTGGCATGTGGTTATGCCTAGTGCATGTTAGTTTGGACTGTTACTACCTAGGCCAGAGTTTCAATGAGGTAGTTCTATGGTTTAATACAAACTTCTGATGCTTCCCTAATGTAATAGATTATAGCTGTAAATTTTAAAGGTAACTGTTTCTTACTACTGTTGGCTAGTATAATTCTGCTTTTGCCAATTTCAACATGATAGTACTTTTTCTAGCTTCTTAAGTCTGCTGTGGTCTTACTTACCTTGTACAGCAGACACCTTGGTATCTTATGTATTCTTTTTACCTGATAATTTCAGAAAAGAAGTTATGATCCTTGCTTCTTTTACGAAGTCCTGCCAATAGATTCTGATTAATGAAGCTGGACCAGAATTCAAAATGGGTGTGTAGATTATGTAGTTGAGTAGGTTGCATTACTTTGTAAAATTGTATTTTGTAGGATTGTGTCGTTTAGTTCTTGATGTCATACAGAGCTGATTTGAGTCCTGGCTGTGTTGCTTACTTATTCTGTAGTATTGGGTGTGACTTCACTAAGCCTTGGCCACTCTTTTGGAAATTGAGAATAATAGTACATGCCTAATCGTGTGATGGTGAGAATTTAATGACATATACATTTCAGATATTTAGCACAGTGCCTGACACATAATAAACATCTAACTTTGTGGAAGGATATAGGATAGTGATAAGCACATTGGCTCTCAAATGAGATTGTCTGGGTTCAAGTATCAGCTCTACCACTTACTATAGCAAGAAATTGAATCTCTGTGTATCCCAATTTCATTTTTTGTATAATGGGGATTATGGGGTTGTTAGGAAGATTAAGGAGTCCTTAGGTGGCACAAAAGGTTAAGCTCTCGGTTGTTAACTGAAAAGTTAGCTGTTCAAATCCACCCTGAGGTACCTTAGAAGAAAGGCCTGGTGATCTAATTCTGAAAGATCAAAGCCGTTGAAAACCCTATTGCGCACAGTTCTACGTGACACATGGAGCAGCCATGAATTGGAGCCAACTTGACTCTGTGGCAGCTGATTGGTTGGGAGGTATAAATGCTTAATATTCTCAGCTGCTAACTGTAAGGTTGGAGGGTCGATTCTACCCAGAGGTGCCTCAGAAGAAAGGCCTGGAGAGCTACTTCTGAAAAATAAGCCATTGAAAACCCTGTGGAGCACAGTTCTACTCTGACGTACATGGGGTACTCATGAGTTGCTATTGACTGGATGGCGACTGTTTTTTTATGAAGATTAAATGAATTAAATAAATGTAGAGCACGGTTTTTCACTGTCGGCATTATTTAGGGCCAGATGATTCTTTGTTCTAGGGGCTATCCTAATGCACTATGATGTTTAGCAGTATACCTGGTCTCTACTCAGTAGTTGGAGTAGCACACTATTCAGTTGTGACCCCAAAAAAAAAAGTGTCTAGACATTGCCAAATGTCCTGAGGGTGGGGGGAAATTGCCCTCTGTTAAATGCTACTGATATAAAGCATGTAGAACCGTGCTTGACATCGAATTAGAGCACAGTAAATTTTTTACATCTTATTATGCCTGGGTTAGTTTCCCTGTGGCCCCCCCCCCCCATTTAGGTTTTCGCTCAAATGTTGCCCTATTAGAGAAGCCTTCTTATGTAGAGGAGCACTGGTGGTGCAGTGGTTAAGAGCTTGGCTGCTGACCAGAAGGGCGGCAGTTTGAATCCACCAGGTGCTCCTTGGAAACCCTATGGGACAGTTCTACCGTATAGGGTCTATATGAGTCGGAATCAACTCAACGGCAAAGGGTTTGGGGTTTTTTTTTTTTTTTTTTGGTTCATTTATAGATTATCCCCTCCCCGCAATCAGTATCACTATTAACCTTGTTTAACTTTTATTACTTTGTTCACTTTTTCTTCACAGATTTTATAATCTCTATAAAATATAGAATCTCTTTAAAAATAAATAATCTTTATAAAATATAATCCCCATGTTTGTCTTCCTCACTTTCCCATACCCATAAAACACAAGAATGTAGACTACATAGACAGCTTCAGCATAGGATAACTTGTTACGGTCTTATTACAGCTGTAGTGATTTGTTAGACTTATATTTGTTATTTTTTTAAAAGAAAATAAATGATAAAATATATAGTTTTATTTTGAAGATGTGTTTGGAAAGTTGGGATAGGCAATTTTTATTTACTCTTAGTTTAAAATTGGTTTTTATGGAAGTATATATATATGTTCGCTGTTGATGCTTTCTAAATTTCATTTGTTTTGCATGCTATTCATACCTGAAACACTTAGAAAATAATAAACATGTTGGTTTAATTAATGTTCTGTCAGTATAACTAAATTTCACTGCAGTATAATTTTCTGAGAGTTCAGATGAAACAGAAAGGTTTTAAGGTGGGAAATATCTTTGGATTTAGATTAAATTTTATTCTCAGTGTTAGTACTAATAGCTTTTAAAATTGTATTCTGAATCTCTGCCATTCATAATTAGCATATGCTGTTCTCTCTGCCTGGAATGTTCTCTGCATATTTAGAATTCAGCTCACACATCACCTGCTTAGCCTTTCTTGGCCTCCTGAGTTTCACCTTCCTCTGATACATAGGTGCTATTTGTAGCCCTTCAGCATGACACTTTCACATTTTGTTGCGATGTTTACATGTTGTGTTTGTTTATATGTGTATATTCTGTGTGGGATTGTAAATTCCTTGAATTTGAGACTGGAATTTGTTTCTCTGGTACCTAAAATAATGCTTTGTAGTAGGTGTTCAATAAATGTGTGAATAAGTGATCAATTTTAAATTAAGCAGATTATCCAGTTCTCTGATTTGGCTGGAAACATTTTATTTGTCTATAAACATGAGATGTGACTCCGAACCCAGAAACAATTTCTGATTTCAGCATATATGTGTTCACAAATTATTATTATTAGTTTAATTGGATTTACATGTATGATTAGCCATTTAAAATAAACCCTAGGTAGGCTTGTTATGTTTTAATTATTATATTTATAATGCCAAATAAATGTTAGAAAGCATTTAAATAAAATTTCAATGTATGAACTAGGAATTTGTTCAAATCAGGCAGTCTGTATAGTTAACAAAGATACTGAATCAGCCCTTAAATTTTCCCTTCAATTATATCTGAGTATATTTGTTTATCCATATTACTAAGTATCACAAGACATTGTATTTAAGATTAGTGTTCTTTTTTTAAAAAAACAAACAAACCTTATTTTGGAATAATTTTAGATTTACAGACAAGTTGCCTATAGGGTACAGAGAATTCCTGCATACCCTTCACCCAGTTTTCCTGATTGTTAGCAGATTTGTTAACATGGACTACACCTAACAACAGCAGCAAAACATCTGGCATAACTTTAGTTCCTTTATAAAAAAATAAGGTTAACGTTAGTACGTCACGATTAACTAAACTCCAGACTTTATTTTCATTCCACCAGTTTTTCCACTAATGCCTTTTTCTGTTCCAGGGTCCAATCCAGAACACCATGTTGCATTTAGTAGATTAGTGTTAACTGAGTTGATATTTCTATGATTGATGGAACATTTGTTTTCCAGTTTAGGGTAGAGAGTTTTTATTATTTTACTTTTGACCTTGAGCACTGTTGAAAAAAAAAATACTTTGTACCTTTCAATAAATGTTACTTTCAGGATAGTCTCCGATGGCTGTATAGTATCATTTGTGGCATTCTTCTTTGGAATTTCCCCCAGAGCCAGTTAGAACCACATATAAAAAATCAGTCTTATTAATTTACGACAATTTCTCTTAGAGTCTGTCCTACAAGGACTAGTCTTGTGATGTATCTTTTGGAAATCATTTTTGGACCCATAAATTTGGGATGCTTTATACTCTATCCAGTCTCACTGGCCCTGTTAAAGGTGTTTGACACAATGGCAGCTGCTTAGTAAACTTTTGTTGACTAAATAAAAGTTAAAAAAAAAATGTAACTTTGTTAATTAAATACCCAGTCTTTCTACATGTTTCATAACCATGGAAGGCTATTTCCTGATAATGCCTATTTAAATCAAGGGGAGCACCTTTAACACCAGTTTTGACTAAAAAGCAGTACGGGAATATTTGATTCACCCATTTGGTTTTCGTTAATAGCAGTATTATTGAAAAAAAATCATTTACTTAGGTAACTGCTTAGAATGGGCTGGTCTTCACTGCTTTGTGATCTCAATCTGTGTGATTGTAACTTCTGACTGTTCTCAATGTCCTCGCCACTTGAAAACACAGTGAGTAATTGGTGTAACTGAAAGACGCCTCAGGTGAAGTTTGTATAATTTACCAGTCTCGTGTTGCTATGGGAATGTGTGCATTTTCATTAGATTCAGGATACCATTTTTATAAGAAAAGGTAATCATTTGTTCTTTTTGATTCATCTGGAAAAAAATAGGTTACTACTTGGGATATAACACTGAATTGGAGGTAGTTTTGGCTGGCATTAAGTTTTAGATGCCAGCACATTCAGATAAATTAAGTCATTGGTAGTTCTGTCTACATAATTTTGTGATCATTTAGTAAAAAAATTTTTGGTAAACTTTCTGAATTACTACAATTTACTAGTTTTCTTTGGAACCTGAAAGCATTAGTGGAAATACTAAAAGAAAGAAAGACAGCAAAAGACAAACCCGCAAAACCCAAAACAGTCGCCATTGAGTAGATTCAGTGTGTGGAAGTATTGGTGATGTATAATGGAGCCTTTTCTAGGTGTTCAGATCAGATGTCTGTAAGGAATTAAATCGTAAAGGAACTGTTCCTGACTCTTCATCAGCATTGCTAATTGTAATTTGCTGTTAATGTTACTATTAGGGAATGCATGCAAAATAATCAGCAAGTGAATAAAACAGTTAACATTTTATTTCAAGGTTTATTAGTATTTCAATGTACCTTAATTGTCAAACTTGAGGAGGGGTACTGAAGCTCTTCTGATATATTCAGAAGGGAGATTAACTGTTGTGGGAGTGAGGAAATTTTCTTTTTTGTTTTTTAATTGAGGTAAAATAAATTGCATTCATTTAGTAAGAGCAGTTTGATGAATTTTGGCAGATACATGCACCCATGAAACCACCACCACAGTCAAGATTTAGAACATTTCCATCATCCCCATATTGTTCTCCTGCCTCTTGCAGTTCATCCCTCTCTTATCCCTGACTCAAGGCAACCACTGATAATGTGGAAAATTGCTTTTAAAGAAGAGTCTCTAATGAGTCAAATCTTTCCAGCTCCTTAGTGCAGTATAAAAGGGTAATAATTATGGGCATGGGCTGGGGAGCCTGAAACCTATGTTTGAATCTTGGATCTGTTTTGTAAACTTGGGAAAGGTACTTAAACTCTTTTAAGTATATTTTCTTCTTTGCAAAGCAAGTATATTAACAGACTATTATTGGGGACTAAATGATACAAAAGGAGCTCTGGTGGTGTAGTGGTTAAGCCTTCGGCGGCTAACTGAAAGGTCCGAGGTTTGAACCCACCAGCCACTCCGTGGGAGAAAGATATGGCAGTCTGCTTTGGTAAAGATTTACAGCCCTGGAAACCCCTTGGGGCAGTTTGACTCTGTCCTTTAGGGTCACTATGAGTCAGAATGGATTAGACGGCAATGAGTTTTTTTGGGTGGGTTTTACAGGATATAAATATAAGTAAAATACTTATAAGCACAGTACCGGAATATAATATATATTCAATAATCGGTAGAGTATCTTTGAACTTCCCCTTCCCCCATTTTTAAAAGGGAAAGAATTCAAGGCCAATTTCTTTGAGAAAATTTTGGTAGATAAATGAGCATTAATATTGTTTTCCATTTTAGCATCACTGGTAACTGTTATAGTTTTAAAAATGTGCTTGTGTATTTTGTTGTTGTTCTGATTTGTTGAGTTTCATAAGCTTCTTTCCATTTTCTTCCTGTACCCCTACAAAAATCTTTTCTGTCGCTAGATAATATTTTTCTTTTAAATAATTTAAACGCTTTGTAAATAAAACAAGGCTACTTAACAGTATTAATAGTATGGGACAATAACTTAAATGATTTGATTTTTAGCTCTTTTATATGGACTTATTGTAAAAGCAATGTCTAATTCTTAATTTATGAAAGGTTATGGTTAAAAATGTAATTTTTATGGTTTAAACCATGTATTTCTTTCAATTGTGTTAAATCAGTAGACTATATACAAAGTTTTTTTTCCTTAAAAATAATGAACCAATTAAACGTTTAATAGGATTTCTGGTAAAATTATATTCTACATGCATGATAAAGAAACATTTAGTAAGGATTTGTTTTACATTTCCAAATGTATTTTCTAAAAACTGAGGATTTTTTTTTTTTAATCAGACATTCAGAAATACCTTAAGTGTGTTTTTAGACTCAAAACTATTAAAATGATTTGGTGTTAGGTGATTTTCAGTTGATAGCTTTATTTCTTATGGTATTTTTTTTGTCTTTCTATAGGGCTGAAAGACACACAGAAGTCTTCATGGATATAGTTGATACATTTAATCATTTAATTCCTACTGAACACTTAGATGATGCCCTATTTCTAGGATCCAACCTGGAGAATGAAGTCTGTGAGGATTTTAGTACAAGTCAAAATGTCTTAGAGGACTCGCTGAAGAACATGCTCAGCGATAAGGATCCTATGCTAGGATCTGCAAGTAACCAGTTCTGTTTGCCTGTTTTGGATAGCAATGATCCCAATTTCCAGATGCCTTGTTCAACAGGTAATTCTTACTTTTTTTTTTTTTTTTTTAGTCTACAATTTAAAATAAAAGGAATTTTTAGCAGCTTTTTTTTTTTTTTCTTTTTTTTCTTTTTTTAAAATGATGATGAGGGTAGTGAATTTAGGATCTTCTCTTTGAATTTAGGACTGCTTTTCTAGGCATCAGAATTAGAATTTAAACTAAATTTTCTTCCAAGGAGTGTGGCAGTATCTTCAAGGATGTTATAGGTAGGATTCAAGGATGTTATAGGTAGGATGACCATATAATTTATTATCCAAAATGAGACACTTATTGAGAATTAAAGGGGTGCTGTTAATAATTATGGCTGACAATGAGTATAAATTGGGATTCTTCCTGGCAATAGGGATTGCCTGGCAAATTGGAACATGCTGTCAACTTAGGTACAGGCCTGTCATTAGTTAAGGGTGAAGGATGAATTGTGTGATTGACACTTTCTCAGTGTCCCTCCCAGCTGTTCACATATAATGTATTGTTTGATGTCATTTCAGATCCTTTGGTATTTTGTTACATGTATCTCAAAACCCAGACAAACCACTCTAGACCTCTGCTGTCCGGTACAGTAATCACTAACCGTATATTGCTATTGAGCACTTGAAATGTGGCTAATCCAAATTGAGATGTGCTATAAAAGGCACACTGGATTTTGAAAACTTATTACAAAAAAAAATGTAAACTATTTTATCAGTTTTAAAAATACTACCTATTGAAATGGTATTTTGGATATATTTGGTAAAATAAAATTTTGTTTTATTTTTTTACCTGTTTTAAAGTGGCTACTTGAAAATTTAAAATTACGTATGTGGCTTACATTGTATATTTCCATTGGACGGCTATATTCTGGGATCTGTAGTTGAAGCAGCTGAAAGACTGGGAATAGTAACTTTTTGTAGGGCTAAATGATTGTTAATGAGAAATTACTTGGGAGTTATATTAGTATGTGGAACAATAAGTAGGTTTTCTTTTATAAAGCAAAGAAACATTACTGCAGACTTTGGGGCAATTAGCTATTTTGTAAACTAAAATTAAAGTAACATCAGCCTCACAGAGAAGTAAGGCTTTCCCCCACTGTTCCCCTAGAGTAGTTCACAGGTTTATGTGGTGTTGATCTGTTTTTTCAATGACTCTAGACTTTTCTTGCTCTACAGTTTTTCAGTGCATTTTTCATTTCCTTTTAATATTTTCTACCTAATATTTTAAATTTAACATAGTAATGCTTAAAGTTTGAAATAGGTGGTCTGCTCTTTACCCCTAAATTTGTCAGATTATTCTACCTGAAGACCTCAACACTTTGGCTACTAGGAATTTTTCTCATTTTAACAACTTCTTAATACTGAGGTCTTTTGAATTGCTTGCTAATGTTATATCTATGAATTCTATACATTGTTTTGTGTTATTGCATAGGTTTACATTGTTTTTGTTGTATTTTAAATGTTTTAAAGCTTTAAAATTTTGTTTTATGTATGCATTGTTTTAAGTTTTTGAGTTTGGTGCCTGTGTCAGTACAGTATATCTAACTATTTTTTATTGCTAAGCACTTTTGATAGTTTTAGGTTATGTGCACAGTTTCTTGGTTTAGTCTAAATTCAGCAAAACGTTTATTGAATACTTACATGCTTGTTGTTGGAAATACAGTTACCCTCAAGGATGTTATACTGGGCCTAGAATTGGCCCATTATATGTCATTCCATTAGACTTATAAAATTCCAGCGCTTTAGTAATACCAGAATTCCTGCCTGCTGTCCTTTTAAAAAAATAATTGCTTTCTCTTCATATGAAAATTTTTATTAATATGAAAAATCTCTTCAGTTTTGGTGAAGATTTCTTTTACTAGAAGGCTTAGAGCACCTTTGCTGAAATACTTAAGAAAAAAAATGGAGGTGTGGTTTATTAATGGTTGTTTAAGGTTCTGTTAGTTTTTAAACTTGAAACTTTTTTTTTTAAGAATTTAAGTAGAATTATTTTCTGCATTTTCTTATATTAAAATTTCTTTGCTACAATTATTGGCTCTGTAGCAGAATTATTTGTATTAATATATGTGTGGTATATATGTTTCTAAGATATTCAAGGGAATATGTGGGAGAAAATAAAGCTTTTCTGTTTAGGATTATTTAGATTTCATTGTGCCATCAGGCAGGAGATTTATCTTGATTGCATCAAAGTTGCTTTTCCCCTTTGGGATGTTGGAGTCCGTGAAGGGCCTGCACATTCTATAATGATGGCAAAATGGAAAGCATTTTTGAAAAAATTTGTTTTAACTTTTTATTTTGAAATAATTTTAGATTTGAGAGAGTTGCAAAGAGGACATTTTATTATAATTATTAATGAAAACCTTACGTGATCAACTTTTACAACTTTTAGCCATTCACAAACTCTTCAGCTTTTTATTGTTTAAAAAAAAAACAAAACACTACATAGATCTTAGCCAGGTGTTTATACCTGGCTCTGTAGAATTTTACTAATTGTCTTGACGGAAGCTCAGCAGGGAAATGATGCTGTCTGTATTCCCCAGGCCAATTAAAGCTATAGATTGTAGATATTTCATAACCTTGGTTTTCACAGTGCTAAAATTAAACAGAATAACTTCTATGCCTTGTTCTCTGCTGTACTGAATTAGTTTGATTTGCTGCAGTTGTTAAAAACCATTTTTTGACTAACATAATTGAGTAGCTTGCAGTGTATTTAAACTATCTCCAAAAATTGTAGCATTAAAAATTATAAAAATAAAGAAACAGAGGATTACTTTTAGCACTGTCAGACGTACAAAAGTTGGGAATGCTGTTTCACTTTGAGAGGTAGCAAGCAATAGATTCCTGGTCTTTGAATGCATTTGACCCTGTAAAGTGTTTCTTTCTGTAATTGCAGTGTAATACATTGTTGCTTTTTTTTTTTTTTTAACTCCAGTAAGTGAGGAAAGCCATTATGTGTTGGGGAAGTGTTTGATCTTGGTGATCAAGCCAGTTATTGGTATTCTGAAAAAAATTAAAAAATAGTATTTTCCCAAGTGATAGGTTCAAGATAGTGAATGTATTGTTACATATACCAGTTGAGGAATATGCTGAAAATCATCGAAATTGTTTTTACTGGTATTATCAGTGTCATGAACAAATGTTTATTTTAATCTCATTTCACAAACATGTTCCCCTCCTTACGTTGGCAGCTATGATTTGTAATTGTGAAACAAATCTTGTATTTATGATCCATTTCTTTACATAGTATTTTGGAAAGAAAGTGTTCAATGGCTGTAATTTGATCTGTTCGTTTTTTACTACGTATTTCTGCAGTGCCTTAAAACCAGCAACAGACACACTGTAGATACATAGGTTTTTAGAGCAGCCTTTCATTCACATAGCACTTGTACCTATTGCATCCTTTCAGTGAACCCAGGATGTCTTTTCCAGGCTACATCATGGCTTGCAGAATCATCGTTCACTAAATTAAGTAAGCAAAAAACCTGTAGCATGATATTCAGAAATTAAGCAAATCAAAACGTCATTGAACTCTTTAAGGTATCCTGTGTATTTGCTAAGAGTCGATTCACATTATGTACTTACATGTTTTTTTTCCCTAACTGTAAAGCAAGGTATTTGCTAGTGTTTCTGTCATGAATGCCATTGATATTGTGTGACATCAAGCAGTGTAGTTTAATAAAACGTTTAGCTTGTATAGCTTTTCTTTTGAGCAAAGTATTGTAATTACACGTTTAGACTGATTTTACAAGTTCACGACAATAGTGTGGTTTATTTCGTTTATTGTCACAAAAGTGTTTAACTATTTTTTTTTTAATTATGGTAAAATATAACACATTTTGCTATTCTAACTGTCGTTAGGTGTACAATTAAGTGACATTAATTTGACATTCACCATGTTGCGCAACCATTGCCACTAACCATTTCCAGAAGTTTTTTATCACTCACACAGAAACTCAGTATCCCTTAAGCCATAACTACCTATTTCCTCCTCTTCTCAGCCCCTGGTAGCCGCTCATAACTTTTTGTCTCTGTGCATTTGTCTATTTTAAATATTCCTCATAAATGAGATTGTTATTTGTCCTTTTGCGTCTGGCTTATTTCACTTAGCATAATATTTTCAAGATTCGTGTTGTAGCATGCATCAGAACTTTATTTCTCTTTATGGTTGAATAATTTTCCCCTGTATGAATATTCCACATTTTGTTTATCCATTTATCTGTTGATAAACACTTGAATTGTTTCCACTTTTTGGCTATTGTGAATTATGCTGCTTTGAACATTGGTGTACAAGTATCTGTGTGAGTCTCTGCTTTCAAGTTTTTTGAATGTACACCTAGGAGTAGAATTGCTGGGTCATATGGCAGTTCTGTGTTTAATTTTGAGAAACTGCCAAACTCTTTTCCACAGCAGCTGCATTTTACATTCCTACCAGCAGTGCACGAGGATTCCAATTTCTCCACATCTTCAACAACACTTGTTATTTTTTGTTTTTATGATAACCACCATCCTAGTGGTATCTGATTGTATATACATTTTTAAAATATTTTATTGTGTTTTAGGTGAAAGTTTAAACAGCAAATCAGGTTCCCATTTAACAGTTTTTATAACATTGTTCCATGACATTGCTTGCAATTTTCACAATGTGTCAGCATTCTCATTATTTCTCTTTTGTTTATTCTCTTTCCATTGATCTAGCTTCCCTGCCCCTCCTTGTTGCCCTTTTTTTTTTTTTTTTTTTTTTGGTGAAAATATACATAGCCAAAGATACACTGTGCTCACTACATCCACATTTGGTGCCACTTTTCCGGTGACGAGAAATGTCTCTATGATCTAAAGTGTTCTTTCTCCTTCTTTCCCTGGTAAC